ACCCACTAGGATGGCATATTACTATCCTTTTAATGCTAAGGGCACTACTGAAACTATGGAAAATATCACAAATGTGCTACAAAGGATGAGAGAAGGGAGAAAGAAGCTACACAGTAGAAACAATCCATTTGACAGAACTTCAGAAAATGTAAATATTGCAAGAATATTCTTATCTGAGAAGATAAGAATCAAGTCTGAGGCCTGAAATCAAGACAAAATGGGAAGAATAAATTGTTTGGCTTCTGAGGCTGTAAATATTGCTTATATATGCAAATTTGAGGGCTGAATTTGAGGTTGGAGATGAGGTCAATATGCCCAGGGTCCAGACTGTATTTGCTGTTTTAAGCTTTATAAAGAAAGTATCTTTGGTATTTTTTCCCAGTTTGTGCTGAAGATCAGAAAATGATGAAACATTTGTCCATTAAAGCAATAAACTCCTAAAAGAGAAGTACCCTGTGAGTCATTCCTGATAAATGAGAATTGAACATCTCTGGGGCAAACTACACAGAGACCAGGTTGAAAAAAACCCAAGGAAGCTACAAAACCATTCAGCTGGCAATAGAGCAATCGGGAGTTCAAGACATTTCACAAAAAATTTTTATTCAATACTCTATTTCAGGAGATCAAGCTGGACTCAGTAACTATTTGCTGAAAGCATGACCCTGGAGAGAGAACAGGTAATATAATGAAAGATGTAGCCCTCTAGTAGGCATTCAATAGATGCCTGTTGAATGTCAATGGTTACTTCATTAACCAAATACCCAATTACCCAGGCCACTCAGTTGTAAAAGTCATCATAATAAGAAGTATTTACTGATGAACCAACTTCTTATAAAATTAGTACTTGCCCCAATATTTCTCTGTTCAATACCAGAGTTGTCAGTCTTTCAGTAAATCATGATCCTATAAATATTAGCCAATGCAATGCAAATACAAAACAAATCGAAATCACAATTCTGACAAAAGACAGAAGACTTTCAGAAGTTGATGAAATAAATGTCGCAGAACCACTTAAATCACATGCAAAGCCATTTAACATTTGGAGCTCTGGCAAAGTCAGGAAGTGCACAACTGAAGAAGAGAAAATAAAACAATAATGATATACAATACGTGCTTCAAAACGAAATAATTTGGATATCAAAGAATTAAGAGAGATTCTTGGAAAAACTGACAAAGACTTCATTAATTTTTTTGGCAAAAAATGGCTCTTTATAATCAAGCTATTAAAAAAGCTAACTAAGGGAATTTTTAACACTATCATATTTTTATCAGAAAAATAACACCAAAACAAAGCTCATATGACTCATTCTTTGTTCTAAAAATTAGTGTATAGTTGAAATATAATCTAAATGTGTTAAATAAAAAAATTTTTTAAACTGTCTTCATAATTTTTAGTTTCATTTTTCAAAGTAAATCTTAATCAAAAAATTGTTTATCTTATTTACAATAAAAGTTTGGTTCTGGCTTTCTGTAGATGCACATTAAATGGTCATTTTCATCCTTAGCTGACCAAGTCTTACGGTACTTGCTGAACTGATTATTTGTCCAACAACACTACTAGTTCATTATCACAAGGAGGTTTACGTCAAGGATATATCTCAAAACATGCATGGCCAACAAAGGCAGACTGGATTTTACAGCAGGACAAACCTATCAGAGAAGGAGTACTTACAGGCAAAAGCCTACTTGACTCCACAGGGTGTAGCTAATTCTCACATGTCCTGATGCATCCTACTCCTTGTTGGATATTTCCCTAAGCTAGTCCTTAGGTAAGGGAGCAGGGAGCATTTGAGATGGAAAGAACTTGGTTCCTTGATGAAATCTCTGAGCTAAGCAAACAAATTAAAACTTTCGGAATTAGCCTTCCTTAAAACATCTTGTTATACGAGATATTAACTTGTTTTTGTTGTATAATCATTTTTAATTGGGTTTTCTGCTGTTATTTGCAGCTAAAAGCATCCTAACATATACACATCACATAACATATATACGTATATCTGTAACAATTTTGGAGGCACAAAAACATTTTAGAAGATTACAATCCAGTTGTAAAGGCAAAACTAATATATTTTAAAAAATAAAAAAAGAGAATTTTGGCTCACTATGACATGTACAGTATTTTTTAGAAGAACTGTAAGAGTTTTAAGAAGAATATGAAGTAGTCATAAACATAAGGCATTTAAGTAAGATTTATATACCAGTTAAGAATACCTCATGGGAACACCTTGTGTTGCAGCATTTAAGAGTTAAGAGATCTTAGAAATTTTTTGGAAAAGAGAAGTAAAAAGTTAAAGTATAACCTCAAGATTTTAGCCAAAGAGAAACAAACAAAACAAAACAAACACTAAAAAAAAAAAACAATGATGCCACTAACAAATTATTACAATGAAATGGAAGCTGGAGTAAACACTGCAGTGAATTTCTTAAAACAATTAAGGATGTTAAGGATGAGATGATAAAGAAAAAGAGACATAAGTATGGGACCCAGATTCTAGGTCTAGGAGAGAATTTAAGTAATTACACAGCATCAAAAACAAACAGGGGGCCGGCCCCAGGGCCTAGTGGGTAAGTTTGGCATGCTCTGCTTCAGCAGACTGGGTTTGGTTCCCGGGTACAGACCTACACCACTCAACAACTGCCATGCTGTGGCAGCTACCCACATACAAAATAGAGGAAGACTGACACAGATGTTAGCTCAGGGCAAATCTTCCTGAGGACAAAAAAAAACATAACAGCACTGAGTGCTACAGCGGGTAAATGCAAGAGGAAAAGAAGAAAGCCATCTTTCTGGTTACCACTTGAAATCCTATTTCGAGGCAATGGGAACATGAGATTCCCTTTGTTACAGGAGTGAAGCCTTCAAGTAAGGAGCCCAAGAGGCAGCATATCTTAATAAGCCTTTACATGTATGGATTGCACTGAGTTTGAAAAACGTTTTCACATTCATTAACTCATTTTATTCCCATCACAATCCTTCAGCCAGGCAAGAGGTATTATTAATCCCATTTTTTTTTTTTTAAAGATTTTATTTATTTATTTTTTTCCCCCCAAAGCCCCAGCAGATAGCTGCATGTCATAGCTGCACATCCTTCTAGTTGCTGCATGTGGGACGCGGCCTCAGCATGGCCGGAGAAGCGGTGCGTCGGTGTGCGCCCGGGATCTGAACCCGGGTCGCCAGCAGTGGAGAGCGCTCACTTAACCGCTAAGCCACGGGGCCAGCCCATTATTAATCCCATTTTACAGATGAAATAAAGGGCCCCAAATATAGCAGACTGTTTTAAATAGCATGATAAACTTAAATGTTTAGTAAATATTTTTTTTCAAAATTACAAAGATTCACTTCCCCTCAAAAGCTATCTTTTACAAGAAAATCTACTGTTCTTGTCATAACCTATAACATGCATGTGTTCCCACTATTAAAAAGATGGCTTTAATCACAAACTCCATCATTCAAACTGGCAGCTAAACATTATATGCCCCCAAAGACACCAAATGGAGATAACGGTTACAGCAGATTTTCAGTGCAACTAAAGGGCAAGTTTTCCCTTCTTTACTACTTTTAATTGAAAACTACATAATGACCTTGTAGGGTGTTGGAGGAACACTTAGTCCCCATTCCTCATATTTCCCCAGGAGGGGAGGGAGGTTCCATGGGAGTGAAAGTATAGGAAGAACACATGTCCACTCCTTCACTTCCAGCTCCCCAGGAGAGAAGGCAAGCCTTAACTGATTGGTTAGCCTGAAGCAAGCTTGTTTGGCTGAGCCCTCTCCTGTCTCTTTTTCAGATCCAGCTGGTTTGCAGAATCTAGTATATTCTTCACGTCCTATGGAGGAGGTATCCAGTTGTCTGGCTATGCCAGTAAAAAAGACAGTATGTCTCTCTAATTCAGAGGTGAAGTATTAACAAGTCCACTTGGCTACAGATCTAGAGCCACACTCTTCCATGTTTTCTTAGTAGTTAAGTTGACACTCTGATCTCCTTTTGCTCTTCTGTCTCCTTTCTCAATTGGTTTCACAATTGAGAAGAAAAGACAAGGATGTTTTTTACTGGTCCCCTAAAGCTACAAGCCAGGATAAGAGGTAAAATGAAAATAGACTAGACAGAGAAGACTCTTTTTATCCCTTCACATCCTCATTATTTTTCAAAGCACTTAATAAGACCCCACACATGTAGTTGATAAGATTGTTTTGTCTTATCAACAAATAGCACTAAATCTCTAGTCATAGTATATCAACATGATCACACAAGCTCGGAAGCCTCAGTGACGGGATCTACACAAATATTAAAAAATGCTAGTAAATAGTATATTTGTCTCCAGGAACAAGATCAGATTTTCTAGCAACCTCTAGTTAGACTAGATGACCCTATATTTTACAGATTCTTCTAGATTTAAATTCTGATTTCTATGTAAAATTCTATCTGCAGTTTGCATGGATCACTTTAAATCATGTTTTTGACAGCTTCCTTAGCAGTTCAAGTAAAGTGCAGCTATAGAAACAAGTCAATGAATAAACATGAACCTCTTATTCCTCATCTGTAAAAATGAGGATATTATCCTCTACCACTCAAAGTTTTTGAAGGGACTGAATCAGGTAATATATGTGAAAAAGTTTATCAGAATTCCAGACATATTTTAGTTTTGTTTACTTTTTGCATAGCCTGCAGCTACTATCTTTTGCCACTAGATGGCAATGCGGCTTCAGTAAGTTGTTGCCAAGAGAAGTCTGAATTTTACTCAACTTTTAAAAGGAAAATGTGTAAAAATTTAAATTACATGGCTTTTCCTGGCATCTGATGAGCTGATAGATAAAACTTTGACCATCTAAAAGAAGACACTGTGATAATTTCACTTCTGTAAGAAATGAAAAGTGCTAATGGTGCCTTTACTTTCATTTTAAAAATCTTAATTTGAATTAAGAAATGTGGAAAATTCTCTGAAAAGGGTGTTGTATAAGGTAAGACATTTGTTGATAGCTAATAAAAATGTTTGAACATTTACCTCTGACCCCAAACTGAGAGAAACGATCTCATCCTCAAAAGCAGAATGTGTGTCAATATGAGCGGGAATTCCTGAGATAGAAGATAGGATAACACATCACTTCATTTTTCCTTTTAGTAGATTTAAGACGACTCTAAATATAGCCTCACACTATTATGGTGAAAACATTGTTTGACAATCAGGAATGTACTATAATTTTAGTTAAAAGGAAACATTTACAGTGAATGTGACCAAATAAAATTAAACTAAATCTAAACTAAAAATATCTTAACTTCATGATTTAAAGTGCCATTGGGACTGGATTCGAAAATCAAGACTTGAGAGTCACTGCTTAACTAGGACATTTACCCAATCCCAGCCCAAGAGAAAGATGTGAAAGAGAAATAACAAAGCCATCTTTTCCCTTGAACACTGGATTCCCAAGTTCCTGTAGAACAAAAGCAATAACCAGGTGTGAAGACTAAGCATAACAATACGATATGGCTTCCTTCACCAAGCTCTCAATCTCTGTTAATTGAGCACCTATTAACTGAAAGGAACTTTGCTACATGGTGAGAACATATAAAGCTAGTAAGACATGGTCCCTTCCTGAAGGAGCTTAGACACCAATGGAAAGACTGATAGGTAAATATGCAATCATAATACATCAGGATAAATGCAGGAAAAAAAACCGCACAACTCCTGCCATTAATAAAACTCTTAAAATCATTTGATTACTACAAATATCAGATGAAGATGCTGCTAACAAGTGCAAAAAATCAATAACCTCAAGATTTTTCACTAACATGTCATCCTAGAATTATCTTCCACATTCTCAACAGAAGAGGAAGAGCAAGACCATGCAACTAACTAGCCTTTTCTCTGTATCTGTAAATTATTTGGTTTTTTCCATTATACATGTCTCATGTTTTTAAAGCAATCTTCTCCCTCTCTAAATAAAATGGTGAGAGGGAACCAAAAAAAAAAAAATCACAAATAGCAACTGTGTCAGTCTGTTTCCACTTTGACATACAAGTTCCTCAAATGATTGATGTGTAGATTTGCAAGTGATTAAAGTCAACACAGGTAAAAAACATAAGCAAATTACTCTGAGTGAGTTAGAGATAAAAAACGTCTTTGATCTTAGAGAGTTACATAATCTACTTAGTTATGAAATATATGACTGGAATTTTAAAAGAAGAAATACTTACCATGCCCAGGTTCATACTGGTTTACAGTCAATTGATCAGGCTTATGTTTAATGAAACCCTCCTTTAACCATTTCTCCAAAATGCTATCACAAAAGTCAGGAAGACCTGAAGTCAATAATCATAAAGATAAAACATATTAAGATATCACCTCACACCCGTTAGAATGGCTATAATCACCAAGACAAAAAAATACAAATGTTGGACAGGATGTGGAGAAACGGGAACCCTCATACACAGCTGGTGGGAATGCAAACTGGTGCAGCCTCTAGGGAAAACGGTATGGAGATTCCTCAAAAAATTAAAAATAGAAATACCCTATGATCCAGCTATCCCACTACTGGGAATCTATCCAACGAACCTGAAATCAACAATCCAAAGAGGCTTATGCACCCCTATCTTCATTGCAGCATTATTCACTATAGCGAAGAAGTGGAAGCAACCCAAGTGTCCCTTTACTGATGATTGGATCAAGAAGATGTGGCATATATATACAATGGAATACTACTCAGCCATAAAACAAGACAAAATCGTCCCATTTGCAACAACATGGGTGGACCTGGAGGGTATTATGTTAAGTGAAATAAGCCAGAAAGAGAAAGACAAACACTGTGTGATCTCACTCATATGTGGAATATAAACCAACACATGGACAGAAAAAACTGTATTGTGGTTACCAGGGTCAATGGGGGTGGAGGGTAGGCACAAGGGGTGAAGGGAGGCATGTATATGGTGATTGACAAACAAAACTTTACAACCAAAATTTCATGTTATAAACTATTAAGACATCAATAAAAGAAAACATATTAAAATATTTACTTTGCATGTTTTACCCAAGAAGAAAAAAATAGCCATTATGATAAAAATCACACAGCTTTTAATTTAGAAGTCAGATCTAAATATAACAATAAACCCACAAGCAAAGCAAAATAAAAATAAAACCTTCTTAAGAATCTTTTAAGGTTATTGTATTGATTTTATCAAATAAAACATCCAAAAGAACAATTTTGCTGACAATTTTACTATTTTGTAAAACAGCAATAAAATTATAAAATTTGCTGAAAATATACTGAAAATTAGCCTGGCCACTTTCTTTTTTGTTATTTTAAATTATTTAATTTATTTCCAATTTAATTATTTTAAATTAGTTCTCTTTAAAAAACACACTTATCAAAGTGGAACTAACTTACTTTTATTAGAGTCATAAATGTTATTTTATGAGGGAAAGAAACCCTTAAATAAGACCAAAGTCATAAAAATATAGATAAATTTAACTTCAACAAGGAATTCTACCAAAGGATTAATATCCAGATTATATAGTAAATTCTTATTAATAACTTAGATAACCCATTAGAAAAAAACTAGCAAAGGATATGAAAAATAATTCACAGAAAAGAAAATACAAATGGCCACCCTCTCTAGTAATCAGGTAATTATATAGTTAAAAGTTTTACAATATCACACATTGGTGGGGGGAGGAGGGGTGGGTACACACTTGGTGAGAATATGTTGGCATAGCTGTTTTGGGGGCAATCTGTCAGTACCTATTAACATTTTTAAATGAATGTCAATTTGACACAACTCTAATTTAGCAATCTCCCTTGAGAAACTCTTGCTTAGTGCATAAAGAGACGTGTATAAAGATATTCACTACTTTAAAAGCTAAAAACTAGAAATAACCTAAATGTCTATCAAAAGGGAACTAACTGGCGGTCGGCCCTGTGGTGTAGTGGTTAAGTTCTTGCACTCCGCTGCGGCAGTTCGGGGTTCGCAAGTTCGGATCCTGGGTGCAGACCAACGCACCACTTGTCAAGCCATGCTGTGGCAGCATCCCATATAAAGTAGAGGAAGATGGGCACTGATGCCAGCCGAGGGCCAATCTTCCTCAGCAAAAAAAGAGGAGGACTGGCAACGGATGTTAGCTCAGGGCTAGTCTTCCTCAAAAAAAAAAAAAAAGGGAACTAACTGAAAAAGCTAATATTGAACATTCAATAAAATGAAAAACTATGTGCAAGATCTCCAAGACATATTGTGAAGGGAAAAAGCAAGTTGGAGTGATACATGTTATATATGATTATACAACTGATAGCACACAATATACTACTACATGTTAACAACTACTATATACTTTTCTAGGTATCTATATTTGAATGTCAACTCGTTTTTTAAAGGAGTGGAATAATGTATACTAAACTGCTACTGGTACTACTTCTGAGAAGTATGGGAGTAAGGATAGCGTTCAAGAGGAACTTGAGCATTATCTGTATATATGAATTCTTTAACACAAAACTGCACCATTTAGCTAATTAAAATGTTTTAAATTTAGGGGCCGGCTCAGTGGCATATCAGTTAAGTTTGCGCGCTCCACTTCGGTGGCCCGGGGTTCGCTGGTTCGGATCCCGGGCATGGACTGACGCACCACTTATCAGGCCATGCTGTGGTGGCCTCCCATATAAAGTAGAGGAAGATGGGCACAGATCTTAGCCCAGGGCCAGTCTTCCTCAGCAAAAAGAGGAGGATTGGCATCGGATGTTAGCTCAGGGCTAATCTTTCTCACACACACACAAAAAAATGTTTTAAATTTAAACAATTGTTTCAAAAGTTTACCTACAAATGACAAATGAAACATTCCCTCAACTATGATGTACTTCGAATATATTAAATCTTTTTTTCTGAACCAGCATTTATTGTTTATTAACAATTACTTACCCCCTGGTAATGGCTTATTTTTATCTACATTATTGTTCTCATAGTAGAATTCATAACCAAAATGCTTTACTCTTCTGTGTTTTAAGGATTTTTGAACTGTATGAAGAAAAGAAAGTAAATTACTTGGGAGAAAGAATTTCATTCCTTCATATATTTCAAAGTCAACATTATAAGTAAGGACTAGTTTAGCAATGGTAACTTTTGTTAACTGATAAATTATCGTCTTTAATAAAATTAACCATTTTTTCTCCTATCTGCTGTTCTTTTAAGTATAAAATTGTAACAAATGCTTAAAGAGCTTTACCCAATCAATCTGAAAGAGCTAAACATGTACACTGCCACTCACAAAACTGCTAATGATCTGGAAAGAGGCAGTCACTAATCTGCAAATATCTCCAGGAAGTTCTTACTACCTTATGGCACTGAACTGCTGATTCCTCAGAGGAAATCTGCCTTAGGTGGAGAGGATCAAATAAGATAATATATGTAAAAGGGCTTATAAATGTTAGCCCTACAAAGCTGGCTAATAAATATTAATCAGTTTGGAGTTTAAAATTGATAGCTCTATAAATGTTATTTATTATTAATGCTCCTAAGAATTGTTGGTATGACTTGCCTAACATTGGATCCAGGCTACTTTCAGTAATTTTAAGGAAATATTACAGTTTTAATAAACGAAAGGAGGAGAAGGAAAGAAGGATCAGTACCATGACCATTTTGCAGAAACTCTTAAATATCAGATTTTAAAAGTTTTACTTACAATTTTGACTGTCTGTATCTTCTGTCCAGTTAATACCCTCCAAAAGCATTTTCTCCTCCTCAGAAGAAATAATTTCTTCTACTACCATGAGGCCTGGAGGTAAAGCTTGAAGCTCTAACTCTTTCCATTGTGCTGTGGGAAACCAAATTAAAATATTCACATAAAAAACTTAAAATTCCTATATACAAATAATTCTGTCCCAATAGCCATTTTTCAGTTCATAAAACTCCCAATCCTCATTTTCATAAATAAGAATGATAAAAGGCACGTGATATATTAAAAGTACAAAAATAAGACCAAGATAAAAATTATGGTACATTTTATCCACTGCATTTATCAAATAGTACAGTATTTAGTTAAGTATTCTGTTTGAACATGAATGACCCACCTTTTAAATCTCACTAATAAACAAGGTTTCTCATAATATCTACAGTATGCCCCTCTATAACCAACTCTGATTATCTCTAAATATTGAATACAAAAATTTAAATGCTAGGCCGGTCCAGTGGCGTAGTGGTTAAGTTCGCTTGCTCCACTTCAGTGGCCCGGGGTTCACAGGTTCGGATCCCGGGCCCAGATCTACACACTGCTCATCAAGCCATGCAGTGGCAGTGTCCCACATACGAAAATAGAGGAAGACTGGCACAGATGTTAGCTCAGTGACAATCTTCCTCAAGCAAAAAGAGGAAGACTGGCAACAGATGTTAGCTCAGGGCCAGTCTTCCTCACAAAAAAGAAAAAAAAATTTTAAATGCTCGTATTTGCTCTCAGGTTCTCGATACTAGCTATGGTCAAGTAATAGAAAAATGTAAAATAACATAAAATTTTCTGAAGAAATAAAAATACCACTGTATGAAGAATTATTTAGCATATATTAAAATAATTTAAGTCTCTATGTCCTTCAAAGTTTTAGATAAGTACAGCTCTAGAAGACAAAGAAAAAAAGAATTTATGATTAGATAAAAGGAACAGTGTAACTCATATTTACTATTAGAGAGCTGATCATGTTACAGACATGATTTCTGAAGCTGTTCTGCAGGACGGTTTTCATCTTTCAATCATTTAATATAAAAATTCACAAGAATAATATAAATATCTACTAGATTTTATTAAAATTTTAGAAATATAAATAGTGAATCATCTGATTAATATTTGCTGAGTGCTTACTATATGCCAGGCATTATATTATTTATTCAAATTATATAAGGAAAACTATGGGAAGAATTCTGTAAAGACAAGTAATTTATAGTATAAGTAATTCATATTTAGTTTTCTAAATATAGTTTTTTTTAAAAAATGAATTTAAAAAAAATCTTTTGTATTTGTGATTAAGTGGCTATCTGGTAGTAGATATAAAACAAGTATGAGGGGGCTGGACCCAGTGGCGTAGTGGTTAAGTTCACCCACTCTGCTTCGGCGGCCCGGGGTTCATGGGTTTGGATCCCAGGTGCAGACCTACACACTGCTCATCAAGCCATGCTATGGCAGTATCCTACATACAAAGTAGAAGAAGACCAGCACAGATGTTAGCTCAGAGACAATCTTCCTCAAGCAAAAAGAGGAAGATTGGCAAAGATGTTAGCTCAGGGCCAATCTCCCTCAACAAAAAAAAATCAATTCCTCAATCACACAATCGAGTTGGACAGTGCAGATATGAACGTATGAACATTTCCACCATCGTAGAAAGTTTAGTAGACAGCACCACTATAAAGCTTTAGGGATCTTTGGTGGCTAAACGTGTTCCTCCATAAATATGAAGCTTGCCCATAATCACTTGGATCATAATTAATTCTTAAGTGATTAATTGAAAGCTTCTGGGTAGACACTGTAAAATAAATTAGTGATCTGAAGCTTCAACATTAAATTTTGAAGGATACAATTACATAGCAGGGTTCCAAAATAAGTAACATGCATAATAAATACATTGATAGGTTGGTATTTTTTTGAAGCAGCTCCTTAAAGGCAGACTATGTCTAACTCACCTCCCTCCAACTATCAGTCCCATGCCTGCACAAACCAGGTGTTTAAAGAATGTTTGTTAAATAAACAGGGGCTGCTTAACTGATGTCCTATTTTATTTCATAACAACTTAACTTCCCAACCTACGCATGAAAAGAAAACTCACACAAAAGCAAGAACTATTTTTAAAAAGATACTAGTAGGATAATACCTTTTTCCACAAAATTCAAGTACAGAATGATCTTTTGTCCTAAATCATCCACTATTTCTTTTCCATTGAGGGTAACATAGGCTTTCTTGGATTCTTCTGTAGTTTTGTATCTTACAAATGAGTAAGGCTTATTAGGTGGCATTAAGAGAGCATCCACCAGTCCGCATTTTTCTAAAACCGGAAGCAGCTGGTTCCTACTCACACCATTACCCAAACCACCATTGGCAACAACCAGGATCTTAAAAAACAAAAAAGAAAATAACATGAGCAATCAATAGCAACCTGTTTATTTTTAAATAAGATTTCAAAATAAGATGATTTCCACAAAAGTGTAATTAAAAAACGTTTCCTTATGGTAGTTATTTGGTTTTCTAATTTCATACAAACTATATAAATCAATTTACTAAATATTTGGAGATTAAAAAGTAATCCTATGTTGTAAATATTAATTTTAAAATAGAACTTTTCAGTAAAATATTTATTTCTTAATGACCAAACATACAAATTAAAAGATAATTTTTTTTACTGTTCATATATATAAATTTAACATAATGAAAGAGAAAGCATAGGGAGAGAGGAGGAGAAGGAACAAGGAGTTACATAATACTTGCTTTTTGCCAGACATATGCTTTTTCCTACTTAATCCTCATTAACATAATCTCCACAACAATCCTACAAAGTGGGTAATATTAGCCCCACCTCACAGAGGAAGAAACTGAAGATCAGAAAAATTGGGTTAAGGTAATGATTAGTAGGAGTTGGGTTTCAAAGCTATTTCTGTCAGTTCCCAGAATCCACACTTTTGACAGAACCGTTATATAAGGTTTACTAAAAACTAAAAGCAAAGTATTGGCTCAAAGAAAAACCAATTACAGGTTCTACTAAACATAAAATAGGAAAATTTTCCTCTATGTCTGAGTAATTCGGTCATTTTGCAATTAAAAATTTTTCCTTTGTAAGTTTCATGCTTACTTCTCGTCATTTGCAGACCTGCCCTAAACATTATTCAAGGGATTTGCGGGGGTACAGAGGAGGTCTCCTATTTTTATTCTGATGCTTATGGCCTAGTGCCCTTATAGTTTTTGTACAGTCGGCCCTCCATATCCCCGGGTTCTCCATCTGCAGATTCAACCAACAGGATGTGTACTATGTTTACAATCCCTGGTTGGTTGAATCCTTGGATGCAGGACCCAAGGATTCAAAGGGCCAACTAAGAGACTTGAGCAAACGAGGATTTCGGTGTCTGCGGGGGTCCTGGAACCAATCCCTGCAGTTATCAAGGGATGACTGTACTTATAAAACATTCTACATGGTGTTAAGATCTTTAATTCATGATCTATGACTCCTAAAAGCTTTGTAGCATAAGAAAAGTAAACCATTGATAGCCTACTCTCATCAGTTTCATCATTTATACCTGGTATTGGCAAACTTTTTCTGAAAAGGGCCAGACAGTAAATATTTTAGGTTTTGCAGGTCATATAAGTCTGTCACATAGTCTTCTTTTTATTTTTTAACAACTTTTTTTTTTTTAAAGAAGATGTTATTGTTTTATTTTATTTATTTATTTATTTTTTGTGAGGAAGATCAGCCCTGAGCTAACATCCACGCTAATCCTCCTCTTTTTGCTGAGGAAGACCGGCTCTGAGCTAACATCTATTGCCAATCCTCCGCCTTTTTTTTTTTTCCCCAAAGCCCCAGCAGATAGTTGTATGTCATAGTTGCACATCCTTCTAGTTGCTGTATGTGGGACGCGGCCTCAGCATGGCTGGAGAAGCCGTGCGTCGGTGTGCGCTCGGGATCCGAACCCGGGCCGCCAGTAGCAGAGCACGCGCACTTACCTGCTAAGCCACGGGGCCAGCCCCTTAACAACGTTTTAAAAATGTAAAGCTCATTCTTAGCTCACAAGCCAGATTTGACCTGAGGACAGCAGTTTGTCAAACTCTGATTTATACTAAGCTAGAAATTAAAACATAATATATTAGTTTCATATACACAAAACAGGAATATCTAGAACCTTGTTTTAAAAGAATGTAATAGAATTATTATAAAATTGGATAGTAAGGAAAGTAAAGCTCTGTTCCATTATGGGATAGCCAATACTTTATATGTATGTAAGTATACACATACACATACTAAACAAACACACTAATACAACACTATAAAATAAGATGTAGGGGCCTGCCCGATGGCATAGTGGTTAAGTTCCGGCAGTCCACTGCAGCGGCCCAGGATTCGCAAGTTTGGATCGCGGGCGCAGACCTACACACCGCTCATCAAGCCATGCTGTGGCAGCATCCCACGTATAAAATAAGAGGAAGATGAGCACAGGATGTTAGCTCAGGGACAATTTTCCTCAAGCAAAAAAAGAGAAAGACTGGCAACAGATGTTAACTCAGAGTCAATCTTCCTCACCAAAAAAATATATATATATGGTGTAAAATTTAGTCTCAGATGGCATGCCCTGAACCTCCTTCAGTGAAGTTTGTAAAGTACCAAAATAATTTGGTTACATGCACCCATAGTTACAAAAACATTTCCATATTCCCAAATCTAAGGAACTGCAAAGGTTTTGCAAATGTCAAGAGTCCACTGCCCCATCTAGGAACAGAGGAAGATGGTGAGGTGTGACGTGAGGAACACTGACAGACCTCAAACATGCTGTCCAAGTGATTTGTGGGCAATTCTAAAGGCAAATCATACAAAAACAAGGGCAGTCAGGGAGGGAAGGAAAGAACTTACTTCCTACTACACGTGAGTTATACCATATAATTAAATGCAATAATTGTTTTATTTATAATTGTTCAGCCAAGCAATTTTCCCAAAAATACAAAGTAGAGAATTCAGAATTTTTTTTAAGTTATCTTCAGTCTTGACAATTTGAAGATCACCACTCTATAAAAATCTCACAATGGCTATAAATTTGCACAAAGACATCTATACTTATAATGCATTGCGAAAAGAGCATTTGTTCTCCCCTGGATAGATAATATATAATTGGAGGGTCTTCTACAATTTTACTCTTTTCCTTTAAAAATATTATGGATAAAAAAATAATCAAGCCCAAATAAGATGACACTTTGGAAGCCACGAAGGTGAGATCAAAGCTTCTAGAGATCTGAAAGAAAAGACAGACTCAACCAGAAACAAGCTTCAGAGGCAGCCAAGAAACTTAACCCATTTCTTTTCTTACCACTTCTCTTCATGACCTCTGCAAGGTAAGCTTGGGAAGAGATGAGAGCAGGGTATGTCAGTTTAATCTTCTAAAAGCCTCACAGCCTCAGTGGCTTTTGGCAGAAAGTATGTGCAGACATATTAATTCTAATCTATTATCTATCCTATCCTTTACATAGGGATTTGGTTTACATTCTCTAAAGTCATTAATATTTAACAAAATCTAAGTGTGGACCTTTTACCTGCTAAATTTAAATCTACCTCAACAGACTACTCATTCCTAAACTATGATGCAGCACAGAAGACAGCATCAGCATGATATAAGAGAATAGTATTGGTCTGAGAGTCAAGAGACCTCAACTTTAATCCTAGCTCCACCCTCTCAACTGTATGTCTTTGGCCCTTCAGCTAGATGATGGCTAAGCTTCCTTCCTCCTCTTACACCCATAGAACCAGAAAGAATATCATAAGAACACTTTATATTTATATGTTATTTTAATGACTAGTAAGTACTGTAACATACATGTTCTCTTTAGAATCTAACAATCTAATGAGATAAAAAGGTAAGCAATATTATGTCCTTACAAATGAAGAAAGCTGAGGTCATAGAGTACTGCTCATGCCCAAATAAGTGGAAAAGCTGAGAGTTAAACTAAATTCTTCTAATTCAAAGCCCAGGAAGTCTCATAGTTCCTCATTATTGCCATCAGATAATGAAAAGGCTTTGTAGATCAGGTCTAATAAATAAAAAATGTTTTATAGCATATAATCAAAACACTTTATCATATAGATGAAGTTAGGAATACAAGAAAGAAGACGACATTAGGATACAAAAGATCTAGCTTTGAGTCTCTTTTCAGCCACCTTACGTCAATGGACATATCACAACCTCTCAGAACCCTAGTTTTCTCACCTATCTCATAAGGATTTTTAGAGAATTAAATACAATAATGAATGTAAGAATGCTTCGTAAACTGTAAACAGTTGTACAGTGTTATTGTTATTAATACATACCCACAACTTCCTCTAGTTCAACCAACATAATCAATGGAAATTCAAACTATACTAGGCTATGTCCCAAAATAGAAAGTTATCAAGTCCTATCAGATGTATACTTAATATAAACATAACACATGACTGAACAATTAAAGCCTTCCTCTCTGAGCAATTATTAACAAATATTACTCTAACACATTAACACTGCAATACATTTACATTCAAATGACAATAATAGTTTTTAGGTCACCTGAGTGGCACAGGATACTGTCTCAATGCCTTCATGTCTCAGCAAAGTATGCCTGGCTTTAATCTGTTTCCTTAAGAACTTCTTCTCAGTTTTATTGAGTTTGTAATTATTTTGATGGTTGCTGTCCATGGCAATGCTGCAAAAAAAAAAGAAACCAGTACAAAATGTCAACCTTAAGAGCCCTGAAGGGACAGTTATAATGATGCTATTCATATATTCTACATACATTCTATAGTTTATAAATATTTCTATGAGACAATTTTTTAAAATGCTTACTTTACATTTCACCAACCGAGAGAAGTGACAACAAACAGATGCTTGGACAATAAAGGACTATTTAAGAAGGCAACAAAGAAGCAAGAACACCTAATAGCAGCTCTGGGGGTTCTACAAAATGTTCCAGCGCTTGAGCTCTGCTAAGTGAGCTGTTTTACCCATAGATGATACAGCCCTTTACTTACGAAGTCCTAGGTAAAATGTGCCACAGACAAATTTCACAAACACAATGTTAGGAAAGAAAAAAAAAAACAAAAAATTCACAGAAGAATGTACAGTATGATTCCATTCACATGAAGTCCGAAACCCAAAAGAAAGCTATATATTGTTTAGAAATACATATGAAGGAAAAGCAAGGAAATGATAAACACAAAGCTCAGGAGAGAAGTTATTTCAGGGGGATGGGGCAGGATGTAATATGAAAGGAATACATAAAAGCATCAAAAGTATTTCTTCAGCTAGATAGTGGTTTAGGTGTTTATTTTTTAAGCTGTACACGTTATATATTTTTATATCTATAATTTTTAAAATAACAGATATTAAGAACCCCATGGAATTGTTTTCATTTTATTGAAAGATGTCAATCATATTTCATAAATCAGCAAGTAGTCACTAAGTGCTTTCCAAGAGGCCTTCATACCATCCAAATCAGCACCCCACACCAGGCTTTATTACAGTGGCCTATTTTATTTTGTTCACAGAATTTAACACAATTTGTGATGATTCATTTGTTAGCTTAAATCCCCCATCAGGATGTAAACTCCAAGAGAGCAGGAATGCCAGCATACAGAAGGCGCTCAATAAAAATTTGTTGAAGGGATAAATGAATGATAACGGGTGAATACACACGTGCTTATTTATGGTCTCAGTGCTCTGCGGCATACAACTACAACACACAGGTTATGCTTTCAACAAAAGTTTCTAAGTTAGTTGAGGAAAACAGACAAACACTAAACAATGAAAGAACATGACACATCTTTATATAATTAAGTGTTAATGGTAGAGTCTTTAGGTGTGACATGAATTAGAGACAAACAAAAAAGATCGATGCTGACTAGAAAAGTTTGGGAGAACTTCAAAACAGAAGCGGACTTGAGCTGAGTACTGAAAGACAAGAAAAATACAGGGTCATAGGGAAGGAAGGGTATCCAGTAAGGTAATAAAGAGTAGAAGCTAAAAACAGGAATGGATGTGTCTGGCAAACACAGTGAGAGGTAGGCATAATTTTTTAAAGCAGAGAATGTTGGGTGATCCACCGATCCCACTCTTCACCCACTTGAAAGTCATCAAACGAAATAAATACAGGAAGTTAAATAAAATCAAATGCCAAAACAACTCATAAATAGTCAAAACTCGAATTACTAATCTTTATGTATAGAAGAAAAATGCAGAGTCTACAGAAAGAACAGTAATCTAGCGTAACTAACACACAGGTTGCACGGCACCAGAGCTAAGGCCGGTAACACAGACTGGCTGGACAGCATAGCAGGGAAGTGAGAGGCAAGAGGACCTGCTGTAATCCAGCTTAGCAAGTAGAATGCTGGCCTGACGGAGGGTGGAGGCTGTAGGAATCGAGGAAATATGGAGAGAGTAGGAGGGCAACAGAAAAGTTCAGGTACAATCAGTGCGAATACTACTCAGACACGAGGGAGAGAGGAAGCACAGATAACTTACAGGACAGAGCCTGAATGACTGAGAGGCTAGTGACGTCATTTCAAAACTGGAAAGTCAGGAAAAGGTCAGGAAGACCTGCTGAGCAAGGGAGGTAATAAGTCAGATTTAGGATATAATACGTTTGAGGTAGTGGTGAGATACATCATTGCAATGTCTGGCTGGCAGATGACAATATGAAGTGGCTAAAAGGAGAGGGAACAAAGTTAGAGAAAAGCCTTAGGAGTCATCATTAGACAGGAAGGGGATAGCTGAATGGATATTTTTAATATTGCACTAATTATAATTATTTATTCTAATGTTTGTCCCCTTCCACTGGATGAAGAGCTCTTTGAGGACAGAGATTAAACCATATTTTTCTTTGTTTCCCCAGAGCCTCCTTCAGTGCCATGAGACAGTATAACATAGTGTTTAGGGGTCCAGGTTCTAGGTTCAAATCTCAGCTCTACTATTTATCAGCTGTATGATCCTGTGTGAGTTAATTACTTATTTCTGTGCTTAGGTTTCTTCATCTGTAAAATAGGGATAATAGTGCCTATTCTTGGCATATAACTCCATCCATCCCTGCACTAAAAAACTTGAACAAACTCTAGCACAGCTTCTAGCAGCATAAAGCATGTCCCTAGGATGACCCCAGTTAACCATTAAAATGCCTTCCTGAGAGCCAGCCCTGATGGCCTAGTGGTTAAAGTTCGGCACACTCCGCTTCGGTGGCCCAGGTTTGGTTCCCAGGTGCGGAACCACACCACTCGTCTGTCAGGAGCCATGCTGCGGCGATGGCTCACATAGAAGAACCAGAAGAACTTACAGCTATACACAACTATCTACTGAGGCTTTGAGGGGGAAGAAAAAAGGAGGAAGATTGGCACAGATGTTAGCATCGGGAGAATCTTCTCCTGCCAAGAAAAGAAAAAACCTGCCTGAGAAAACTCAAAATGCTGCCAGGAAATCTTACTATTTGTTCTAGCAACACCTGACAATAGGCCCCTGGCCTCCCTTTCTTAGAACATTTGCTAAATAAAAGGGGCTTACAATTGTGAATATGTATCTCTTGCAGCTCAGAAGTGTCTCTCTCAAAGATCTGAGAGCCTGTCTTGACATGAGTACAGCCATGTTTGGCCGCTCTATTGACCTATAGCCACCAGCACACAAAGAAATACAAAGCTGCTTTCTGTGTGGTGGGAACTGGCCTTTTCCCGGGAACTGGCCTTTCTCCCACGGAGGGAGTTGCAAGTTGTAACACTTCAAGGCTCTTGGAGCATCGTAGCACGGGATGGACTGGCCATCTGTGCCGGGCTAAGACGATAACCAAAGAAAACAATGCACGTACACAACTACTGGGCTGGGACGTTAGCCAAGGGGCTCAGAGCACGTACGCCACTGATAACTGTTTTGTGCATGGAAACACTAGATGCTTGCTCTGTAAACTCTGTAACTGCTTATATAAACTGCTGGAGACTGAGACCCGGTGAGAGTTCCACCTGTGGAAGGGACACCTTGCCCAGGACGTGTGATCCTTGCCCAGCCGCGTCGATTGACAAGGCTCTCCCGGCAGTGGGGCGTGGATATTGTGAGTAACTGATTTGATGTGAGTAATTGATTTACTGTGAAGTAACTGATTTGATGTGTTCTCTTTTCGGTCAACCTGGTGTTTCTCTTTCCGGTTGATTTGTGTCATTTCCCTTCAGTCGATCTGGTGTTTCCCTTTCCGATCGATCTGATGTTTTTCCCTCTTATTATATGACCTATTCGGATCTGCTGCTATCTCAGCCGATGTGGATGTTTTCCCTTTCCAGTCGAGCTGGTGTTTTTTCCCTCTTATTATTTGACCTATTCGGATCTGTTTGCGGACTATCGCCTTTACTATCCTCTATATAATAAAATATACCTTCAGTCCATTTGTTTGGAGTGGAAAGTTTCTTTTACGTCTCCAATCGAATCTCCAAACCTCTCATAACAGAGCCATTCCTTTGAAATGTAATCATCAGGAAGGACAGGGCATCTGTCTCCCAGTCTCTGTGGCAGGAGAGAATCCTAAGTTTGATAACTGCCAGCTAGCAAACACAGCTGGCCTAACTGCATTTGCACTGACCAATCCTTTGTAATTTTTCACTTCTCTGAGTCTACTGAACCCCTGCTCCATGCCCCTCTCCATGCTCCCTTTAAAACACCCAAATCACTTCCACACAAACTGGAATGGAGCTCAGCTCTTTCCCCTACTGTCAGTAGTTACTTAAAAAAATGTTTTCACCAGTCTAATGTCTGGCTGTGTTAATCTTCGATACTATCTCATAACTTTGTTAAAAGTATTAAATATGTCTATTACTAAATTACGTCAGCCCTAGCGGTCTAGTGGTTAAGATTCTGTGCTCTCACCCACGGCCAAGGCCCAGGTTCGTTTCCTGGTCAGAGAACCACACCACCATCTGTTGGTTGTCATACTGTGGCAGCTGCCTGTTGCTGTGATGCTGAAATCTATGTCACCAGTATATCAAATACCAGCAGGGTCACCACGGTGGACAGGTTTCAGCGGAGCTTCCAGACTGAGGCAGACTAGGAAGAAAGATCTGGCCACCCACTTCTGAAAAAACTGGCCATGAAAACCCTATGAATAGTGCCGGAAGATGAGAGGATGGTACAAAAAAGACCAGGCAGGGTTCTGCTCTGCTGTACACAGGGTCGCTAGGAGTGAGAATCAACTCCACAGCACTAACAACAAATTACTAAATTACTGTTCATTTCCAGAAAAGCCAGATCAGAATGGTTTAAGAAGACAAAGAAAAACTGAAGGCCCTCAAAGGAACTATCTTATTGCCATTCCATTCCAAGATCATCATCTTTGGAATGGCATCTTTGCAGTATGCAATAGAGAACAAGGGATGAATGCACTAAGAATTTTTTCTTAATATGTCACATGGGCAAAGACTGCAAATGGAAGAAATGAGAAAGAAAAGATATTGACTACATTTTTTTAAAAGTATGACACTAAGTGTCCAGCACCAGCAGATGGAGCCTCATAATCACATTTCTCTCATCCCTTTCCCTTCTCCTTTCCTCAGTCATGCAATATCATTACAGGTGAAGAAAGACAAATCCAGATAGCTCCAGAGGCTCATTTGTTCCCCATTCCAATGACTTGGCAATGCACTGGCCCAGCAGGTCTGATCACCTCAACAAGGAATAGACTGAGACTAGCTGCTGAGGTCTAGAGATGCCCCCTTTCTAACACAGCCACTTCCCTGGCCAAAGAATTTCCACCACTGCACAAAGGCTTGGATGCCCCTCACCATGCTATGGGAGTGTTATGGAATGTCACGGAAGTGGGGTTACTACTAGAATACTAGCCATGCTGAGTCCAGTCTAATCACATTCAGCTTAAGCACACTCTCTGTAGGATAACAAGAGTTTAGAGATCACACATGCTCTACTAGTAAATTTAACCCCAATATATCTTATTGGATATTGCCCTAAGTGGTAATAGTAGCACGTGTGTCCATGCCCTCCTTGAACAACAGAGTGCCTATAATGAACCAAGCAGTATAGACAAATGTTCCTGTGCTTGTATGTAAATTATACTTTAATAGCAAAGATTAGAAAGAACTTAAATTCCTCTCAATTGAGGCCTGATTAACAAGTACAGCACAGGTATACAGGGTATACATATAAATCTCTAGGACACACAAGAAATTAGTGATATGGGTTGCCTCCAAAAAGGGGAAATGGGTAGATTGGTACAGGAATGTGAGGGAGCTTTCCTCTTTCCTAATTTTTTAATTTAGTAGGTATTCAAATTTCATTAAGAAAGAAAATAAAAATTTTAAATGATTAGAAAAAATTAACCCCATCACTTGTCATATCACCCCATTCTCATTCCTTGAAGAACACCTACTCGCTATTTGTTTTTAGGCCTTCATTAATTTTATTCACTGTCTTCCTTGTCTAACTTACTAGAAAGTAAGCTCTATGAAAGCAGAAATTTTGTCTGTATTGTCCATCCTGTAGCACTCAGCACCTAGAACAGATCTAGCAGCTAGTAGCCATTCAATAAACGTTTACTGAGTAAACCTAAACTTACTAACCTTATCAGATTACCTCCTAAACCTCTTCTTCAGAATTCTGAGTTTGGTGGACCTCTTCAGTGTTTTCACTAATACTTGGTGTGTATCTCTATCTCTGCAGTTTTCACATTGTATTATAATCACCTGTTTGTGTGATGGGCTCACCCAGAAGGCTGTCACCTACTTGAAAGCATAGACTTGAGTGCCTGGCACACAGCAGGCACTCAGTAAGTATTTGTTAAATGAAATCAGTCAAAACCAGAAGCTGACACTACCAGAGGCCCAACGGTCTCCGGGTTTACTCAAATAAGAGCACAGGAAGATTCAGCTGTGTGAGCTACAAGACCACCAGCAATGCCTTTTCCTCACTGGATTGACACGGGTCAGAAAAGCCCCAGAAGCGCCAGACTAACACTCCCCAAGTTGCAACCGCCAGTCCAAAACCCCAAAGGAAACAGAACACTAACACAGACACCACGTGAGCATCCGCACCAAACACAAACACGTGCACCTCAAACACGCACGGACAGGATCACCAAACGCCAGACACCCTACTGCCCTCGGACTGCACCAGACCACCGCCCCGGCCATCCCTCCCCTCCCTAGGTTCTCAGCCACACGTCAGTGAGGCAGATAGACGAAACCAGAAGAAGCCGACATGAGAGAGCGGCGATTTGCAGCCATCATTCCCGCCAGTAAGAAGTGCCACAACCCCCCGCCTCGACTCAGGCTGGGTTCTCACCACGCGGGCACTCTCTCCTTAACCAGCCTCTCCAAGCTATCTCAGAAAGCAGCTACGGCTACCGGCACACCACCTCACCTGGGCGCAGCCATGTTGGAGAAAGCCGCACTACATTTCCCATGAGTCTGCAGGGCGACGAACGGAGCTCCCACAATCCCCTTCGCCCTCACCCCGGAGCCTCGTCTCGACTCTTTCGCTGCCGGGAAGCTTTGGGCCGTCAAGCGCTGTGCGCTACGGTGACAATTAGATTGTGATATTTGGGAGAATAGTAAGGGTAGGGAGTGCAGCTTATTATTAGGTCCCCAAATGGACACGGTTAAACAGGTTTGTGTCCCTCGGTTCCTCAATAATGTCCGCCAACCCCGCGAGGGGGGGGTTTGTTCGTTTTTCCTCCTGAATCTTAGAGGAATGGGAGAGGAGCCTGGGGTCTGAAAGACGACATCGTATGGGCGAGAACGAGGGAGGTGAATGTGCATGAACATGCCAGGGGAATGGTGAGTACCACAGAGTGAGAGGAAGATGTGTGGAAGAATGTTGAGGGAGGTAGGGCAGGAAAGGTGAGCTGCGCCAGAAAAGACGACTTTAGGCCGTTCTGTTCTGCAGGCCTAAGGGGGTCCCTGGAAGAAACGGAGCGATATGACCGGAACTTCTAGTAGAAGGTGGGAGGAGAGACTAAAAGTTAGAAGACTATTTCACAGGCTATTGCAGTGGTAAAGTGAAAAGTAACTGTTAACTGGGGCACAGCAGTGAAGGCAGAAAGGAAAAGATTTGGTAACAGATCAGAAATAAAAGACACAGGAGAGGGTGATGATGAGCCATTGTTCCTGCTTTAATGTTGTGTTATGTATGTATTATAATCATTCTGCCTGCACTGGATTATGAGCTGTGGGAGAACAGGGAAGGAAACTTGGGAGTAGGGAGGAAATCACTTCTCTATAGTGCTGATAGGGTGCCCCCATCCGCACCCCACCACAGTGGACTACCAGTACAAGTTAAGGGGGGCTGGCCAGGACAAGTGGCCCTGACAAGAGAGTGTTGTTGAGTGGAGGAATGATTTGTACGGAGAATGGGTTAGAAGGGGGAAAGGACAGAAGTCGGGAGGCAGATAGGCAGCCATTGTGATAGTCCAGGAAAGAAAGGGTGAGGCTAAAACGGAATAGCAAAAGTGAAGAGGCACGTGCAAGCTAGAGAGGTCAGATCAACCAGACGTTGCAAACTACTCAAGAGGGTATAGGGAAAACATGTTCAATCTCCCCATTGCAGTCTTGCTTCTGCACTACTGGATGCTTTCAAAAACACATTCCAATAGGACTTTCTGTGGTGATGGAAATGGTTGATGAGTTGTCCAATGTGGTAGCCACTAGCCACATGTGACTTTTGAGTATTTCAAATGTGGTTAGTACAACTAAGGAACTGAATTTTGAATTTTATTTAGTTTTAATTAGTTTAAATGTAAATAGCTGCATGTGGCTTGTGGCTACCAAATTGGACAGGAGCATAAAATATCCCCGTATCTCCTATTGGCCAAATTCAATGATTTCATCTCTGTATCCACCCTGCATAAAGATACTAAAGCTTTTAAAACTTTTGAATTTCTTAGCCTGCATGGAAGTACTCTCTCCTAGTTCTCTTTTTCACATTTTGATCACTGGTTTTCAGAGTTTTTCACTAGCTTCCTCCCTCTTTCCACAATTAAATGCAGGCGACCCTTTGCGTTTTGTGTTTGACTCTTTTCTCTTATTCTCAGTCTTTCCCTGTGTGCCTCCCCAGAATTTTAAAGAGTTTTTTGAATCATCCCCTAATTTTTTTCTTCAGCCCTGACTTCTGTTGATGCAAATAACCAATAACCAATCTATAGATAGGACAGATAAGGTGAGTTTTACTTGAGCCAAGCTGAGCACTAGCCCGGGAGGGCAGTCTCTACAAAGGAAGAAAGCATTCCAAAGAAGCATGGTTTTCAGTACAGTTATACCTTTTTAGAACAAAGAACATACATCAAACACATCTAGGATACATAGACCTCAAAGTTTCAGAGAGATATTTAGTTATAAATTAGCAGATCCACATGACCCTGATGTCTGGGGAAAAAAACTTATTATCAAAGGAGTACTGGGCCGGCCCCATGGCTTACCGGTTAAGTGCTTGCGCTCCGCTGCTGGCGGCCCGGGTTCGGATCCCGGGCGCGCACCAACGCACCACTTCTCCGGCCATGCTGAGGCCGCGTCCCACATACAGCAACTAGAAGGATGTGCAGCTATGATGTACAACTATCTACTGGGGCTTTAAGGGGAAAAAAATAAATAAATAAAATCTTTAAAAAAAAAAAGGAGTACTGATACTGGTGTCCTAAGAAAGGAAGTATGCATCCCTATCTTCAAAGAGTGCGTTCCGTACTTTGGGATAATGTTTAATGCATCCATTACTTTAATGGTTAAAGTAGATACACAACGTATGTTTGACAGGCCATAAATCTGGCTTCTTCCGTTCACATACAGTTCAGGCCAAATTCAGGTTTAAACCAGAATAGCTACCCCATATACTTCAATATGTGAAAATTTCTTATCATTTCCCTTTAGGAGGCAGTTTGGTTTAGTGAAAAATAATAGGGGCATTAGAGTATGACCTGAAGTAGAAACTGCAAAACAGCATTTACCTTTGATTGATGTCATAATTAACTACCATACATAAAGTAGCTATTCAATGGTGGTTCATTCCTTTTCTACTCTTGTGCTCCTGAGTTACAGGCCCAAATCTCCAACCACCTGCTGTCCATCCTTGCCTCCATATCCTTAGAAAAAGGTAGATACATATAAAATTTTGCATGCAGTCCTTTTTATGTAGGCCTTTATCTTTTGCCTGGAATATTGCATAGATCATTTCTCCCAGAGAAGATGACTCCTTGAAGCAATTCTCAGCTACATTAAGACCCTGTTTTGTTCATTATGTAACTCCAGTGTCTTCCATAGTCTTGTAATAAGAGGAATTCAATAAATGTTGGACTGAAAAGAAACATAAAGACAGGATTCACCTTCACTTGTGCCAAAAGCTTTACATGGTGATCTATAATAATTTTTCAAAGATATTAAATGCTGACCTAATGACTCTTTCCTTAGTAAAACCCTCACCTCATCTTCACGAGAGATATGTCCTCTGTGCGAGTAGTGCAGGGGTTGGCGGGATTTTTCCATAGAGAACCAAATAATAAATATTTTCAGCTTTGTGGCCACACATGGTCTCTGGTCACATTTTTTTTTTTTTTTTTTGGTTTTGTCTTTTTAACAATCCTTTAAAAATGTAAAAACCTTTCTTAGCTCTCCTGGCTTATGCCAGCAGAATTTGGCTCACGGACTATAGTTTGCTGACCCCTGGACCCTCTACCTGGACTCTGTAATCGTGAGCACAGTCTTAAGGTGAGGCTAAGATTGGTGCCACCACTAAAGACATTTATTAGGAATTACAGTATAAATGAATTTAATCAGACTAGCCAACACTACATTTTAAAAAAGCATGGAAAAGTGGAGGTGTGTCTCACAGTAGAATTCCAGAAATTAGGGCTAGGAACAACATATTATTTAGAATTGCTTTTAGTTGCCAGTGACAGAAAACTGACTGCTTAAACCAATAGTTATTTTTCCTCAAATGACAAGCTATCCAGGCAAAAGCAATCATTGGCATTAGTTCTGCTGTTCAAAAATGTCATCAAGAAAAGACTAGACTAGGGCCAGCCCCCGTGGCCTAGTAAAGTTCAGCATGCTCCGCTTCAGTGGCCTGGGTTTGGTTCCCAGGTGCCAACCTACACCACTCTGTTAGCGGCCATGCTGTGCTGGCAGCCCACATAACTAAAGAATAGAGGAAGATTGGCATGGATATTAGCTCAGGGTGAATCTTAGCAAAAACAAACAAAAAAACAAAAGAAAAAACTAGACTATTGGTGGTGAGCATGATGCAGTCTATACAGAAACTGATATATAATAATGTATACCTGAAATTATACAATGTTATAAACCAACATGACCTCAATTAAAAAATAAAATGTCATCAAGAACCCAGGTGCTTTCTACTCTCCTGCTCCATCATCGTTGGTAGGTTGACTTTTTATCCTCATTCTTGATGTATCTTGGTTACAAAGTGGCTGCTGCCGCTCCAGACATCTTGTTCTCATACTAGCATCTCTAGCTGGAAAAGAGCAGAGTCTCTGTCTTTTCATCCAGGAAATGAAGCTCCCAATGGACTCCCTCTTGTTTTTTGACCACGTGGGTTGCATACTATGATAGGCAGAATAATGGGCCCCCAAAGATATCCACACTCTAATCCTTGGAACCTGTAAATATGCAAATATAATTAAGTTTGCAGACCTTAAAATAGATTATTCAGGGGGTCCAATATAACCACATGATTCCTTAAGAGCAGAACATTTACTCTGGCTGGAGCAAGAGAGATCAAGCAGAAGTCAGAAAGATTCTAAGTGTGAAGGATTCAAAACACTGTTGCTGGCTCTGAGATGTAAGGGTCCATGTGCAAGAACTGGAAAGAGGCGTCTATGAGCTAGGGGCAGCCCCCAGCTGATAGCCAGCAAGGAGATAGGGACCTCAGTCCTACAACCACAAGGACCTGGATTCTGCCAACAAGCTGAATAAGCTGGGAAGCAGATCTTTCCCAGAGCATCTTGATAAGGGCCCAGCCAGCCAACACCTTGATTCTGTCCTTATGAAACTCAGAGCAGAGAAACCAGGAGCAAACCCAAACTTCTGGCCTACAGAACTGTAAAATAATAAATTTGTGCTAATTTGTTACAGTAGCAATCAAAAACTATTACACATGCTTACCCCAGACCAATCACTAGCTAAAGGGAATGAATTACTATAACTGCTTTAGGCCAGTCATGATTAATTCCATAGGGCTGGGATGAGGCCCATCCTTCCTGAGATCAAGAGACCTTGATAGCCTACACTCTATCTGGAGAAAAATAAAATTAGGGTTCTATTAGCAAGAAAAATGGGATAACAGCTGTTGGGTAGACAATTAACAGCATGTTCCATGAGGGGGTTGAACACTTCATCTGGCTGGATTATAATGTGGTCTATCTCAAAACCTAAG